CAAAACCAAAACCTACCTAACTGGAAAACAAAGCAAACAAACAAAAAATACAATTGAAAAATAAAACAAAAATATTCTTCCAACCAAAAGCTTTCCAAGAATGAAGGMATATATTTATAGCAAGAACAATTTATAAGGACTGTCACTTTCTGTGCACACGCTTAGAACGAGGAGCCTATTTTCCGTCTGTCGGTGTGCACATAGTCGTGCAGGCTGTGCAGACCTGGGCTGTCCTGGGTCACAGCTCGCTGCCACCAGCCCGCCCTCCCTGCGGGCCTGTGCCCCTCCCGATCATCAGCAGCACCAAGGGCCGCGGCCCCCTCACTCCTGGGAACTACAATTCCCAGCAGCCAGCGGGGAGGAGCGGGCCGGGCGGGCGCCGCGCGTGCGCACTGCCGTGGCAAGCATGGCTACGGTGCTGTCCCGGGCGCTGAAGCTGCCGGGTAAGGGTTGCGCGCCCGCGGGAGTGACCGAGCGCTGCCCGGGTCGGGTCGGGCAGGGCAGGGCAGGGCAGCAGCAGCAGCAGCAGCAGCAGCAGCAGCAGCAGCAGCAGCAGGCGCGGCCGGGGTGCCCTGATAACAGGAGGCGCGGGTGCCGCTGCCTGAGGGCTGCGGGGCGAGTTGCCATAGTGATGTGGCGATGTGGGGCGAGGCCCGGGGTGCCGGCGGTGAGGGGCGGCCGGCGAGCGTCCCGCGGGCCCCGCGGTCGAGAGGGACACACGCAAGGGCCGGGGCAGTGTGCCGGGGCCCGGAGAGCGTCGTGTGTGAGAGGGGGCCTGGGCCGCGGCCCTGTGAGGGGACTGCGCGGGAGGAAAGAAAGCGTAGACTCTCTCACGTCCTCTCATGCCGGGTTTCAGCCACAGAAGCCAAGACAGGAGTTTGGTAAGTGGCACTGCAATTAGCCAAGTAAATGTTTAAAGCCTGCCTGCCGCCTCTGCACCTTCCAGCCAGAGATCTTCAGCGAGATGAAAGGCTATTCAAGCATAAGGGGCTATTGTGTGCGGTGAGCGCAGTCCAACAGCCATTCTCTTCAGTGAGGAGATTAAAAGGAAATCAAAATACCTTGCCAAACCAGATCTTGGGAGCATGCTAGTTGCTGTTGGATATACTGTAGACGGTGCCARTGCACCTGGCTGCATTAACTTCAATGGGAAAGTTACTCATCGCTCTTCCTAAGCAAGTCTTGCTTTTGGGACAGCCCTGGGACAGAGTTAGAGCCCAGCTGTGTGCTGCTGGAGCAGGTCCCTCTTTGGCACTACACACCACAGAGTGGTCCTGCACAGTCTGTGGGGCTGCGCTCTGGACCAGTTGTACTTTCTTCCTCCATTGATCTATGAAGGTCACAGTAACTGTCTTCAAAGTCCTTTCTGCCATCTTTTCATAACCGTTACCAGGGGAAAGGTTTATATTACTTTTAGTTTATGTGGTGCCTGTTGAGCCTCATTCAAAGAAATTTTGTTTGGAAGTYGTTTCTTCCTGGTTATATATATAAGTATATAGATATGTGTGTGTCTTAATAAAAGGAATACATTTACATGAAGTCTGTTTAAGAAGAGTGCAAGCTGGTAGGTGTAGGTGTGTGCATTAGGGTGTGACCACTGGGGAACTGTGCAATRAGAAGTACAGATCTCTTCTGAGACATTTGGAACCAGTGCAATCTATTTGCTACGGCTGTTGAGAAACACTGATTTGGAAAAGATGGTAACAGGCCTGGCAGCTGCACTTAAGAGAGCAGTTCTTGCATGAATCCTTAGGTTAAATTGCAGAAATCATGCCTTTCTTATGTGTTTAATTCTTGAAAAATACAGCTTCCAAGAGCTATGAGAAAGCAGAGCACCTGTTGCTATATCTGTTTTTCCTTCTGCATCTCGTTAAATTAATTAAAAATCAATATGTGGTGATTTTATCTCCTCATGGGTTTAAAGATGTGTCTGCAGTGTGCAGTGGCTAGTGCCTGCCAACTGCCAGAAAAATAAACAGAGCGTGAAGTGAATACAACAGATACGGGAACCAGTAGGCCATCAATRGAATAATGCACTGAGAACTGTACTTTTCTAAAGTCCAAAATCTGGACTTTTCACTCCAAAGTGAGTGCAAAGAAATGCCTTTTCAGTCGGCCATTCAGTCAAAACCAGAAAAAAATAAGATTACAATTAATATCTTTGAAGCCATCAGCACTAGAAATGCACATTTTATTATGACTGAAACTTCATTTCAACACAGATGACCTCACAGGTGCCTTCTTTCCAGATCATGATCACACGATGATCATCTATTCTTCATTGAAAGGTCACATTTTTCTGTTGCAATGGTTTCAAGAACCGCCTGTGCAAAAACAGCATTTGGCGAATACACAGGGGATTTTCAAAGTTATATAGTGCAATTTAGTGACTTACTGCCCTTGAAAGCCAATAAGTTTGGGGCATTTTCCCTCTGTTCTGTCTTTGAAATCCCAATCTTCAGTATTTGCTCTTTCTTCCAGTGGCTGTGAAAACAAAAGAAAATCCAGAGTGATGTGACCAGTAACTTCCTCTGATTGTTACCACAGACCACTGAATGGGAACTTCTGTTTTATCACTGATGCCATGGAAAAAATGGAATATGATTTAGACCAGGTCAGAACAGAAGATGCTTTGATGACTGTACCTGTAGGAGGGAAGGAGCACAGAGTAGTAGGGAAACTGACTTTACAGGTATGGAGTTGGTATCAGCAAAGTGGATGCAAGGTTTATATACACTTGGAGTCATTTGGAAGGCAGATAACAAAGTGTGAGTTACTCACATCTGGTACCTACATAAGGCCACARAAAGGTAACTTGTTTTAGCACAGAGACTAATTTATCATGAAGGCTACAAAGTGATTATTATTTCAGGAGATACAGTGAGAATTTGACCAAGAGGCCAGCTCGAATCTTAACATTTCTACTTCCATGATGGAAAACTGAACTGCATGTATTTCGTGACAGCTGATTGCTGCAACAAAGGCAGTTTTAGCTTTCTACTGATGGGCAAACTGTTTCCCCTCAGACTAAGCCTTGTTGTTGACCAGAAAGGAAAGAATTTGACTTCTGGAACACTTATAAATAAATCATCATTCTCTAAATGTTGTGAGACTGCTTCTGTTTTCACACATTCTTTGTTGTTTTTTATGTCTGTTTTATGATTTTCTGCTGAAAAATCATCTGGGGGTGATTAGTGGAAGCCAGGTGTGTTATCCCTCCTTCCCACAGCCAGTGACCTAAAACTCAGATGAAGAGTCATGTTCCTTCTGCTCTCCCTCCAGGTGAATCATGAATTTTGTGTTCTCTGCACCACAGAACAGCCTTGGGAGGCTGAGCTGAGCACATCCTTGCCATCTCTCCAGACACATTCCCAAAACACCTACAGATCGGTTCAGGTTCTGAACAGTGGGAGATAAGCGTTTGAATCCTCTGAGGCTAGAAGTACAGTTGGATTTTACATGTGCTAGATGAGTACTCCAACAGCCCTTCTTAAAGGGCAGTATCTTCCCTCCTTTTGGCTTAAAAAATAAATCATCAGGGCACTTTATGCCTCACTTTACTGAGTGACTGTGCCTTGTGGGTGTGCCAGATAACCTTTTGAGGAAAGATAGGGCAAAGGAGTGCCAGTCTGATTCCTAGTCAGGCTTAGGCATGAATTAAGACTGAGCAGCTTTATAGCTCTCCTATAATTCTGCAGATTCTTTCCTATGTAGATCATCAGAAGCTGTCATTACCATGTTGTAGCKGTTTTCTAGCCACTTATCAGTGATTCTCAGTAGGACAGGTGTTCCTGTTACAGATTGTGGTTGACACCACTGTTGATATTGCCAGTATCTGCATCCTTGCCAGTTCAACGAGTGGATGAGCCATAGTTTTGAGGTCCTTTCTGTCCCCTAGAGATCCAAAACAAAACTGTTTCAGATAAATTTAATGGATACCACTGCTGTCAGTTGCTCTAAGGATGAACAGCAGGTTCCAATCTTTTGGTTAACTGTTTGGAATTAAAATAACTAAATAAATCATAGTATATGTGAAGCATAAGTATGCTTTGAGTTGTTTTACTCTAAGCTTGCCAGTTTCCAATATCAGGAGCMGTCTAGTTAACATAACTGTCTGACTTTGACTTGCCAGGCTAAATACCTTTTACTYATGGGCCAGCCACATTTGTTTTTATGCCATTTTGACCTGGCTTGAACTGGCACATCAGGATCTGTAGTGAGAAGCTGCAAATACCCTGGGGGTGAGACATCTCTGGAATTTTTTGTTTTGACTGAGTAGTCTTTCAGTCACTTTTTAGCACAAGTCACTTTATAGACACCTGTGAAATTTACACTGCAATATCTGAGCAGAGAGCTGTGTGCCRCCAAGGTCGGTGGCCTTCTGTGCACTTACAGGATGGAGCCAAAGTCATCAAATCTTCCTGAAAAGCCCAGATTTTGAACACATGTTTAAAGCAGACCATGTGTTACAGGGATACACCAGACTGAAATGTCRGAATGCAGGATCTCTTGGCTGGGTGCTCTGCCTCCACAAGGAACTGCTTTTTKGAGTGTATATGTGCACCAGATTTCTGAGTCTTTTGTAGAAGCCCCTTGCTCAAAAAGGATGTCTGACTTAGATRTGTGAACTTGTTGGTTGTTTTTATTTGCTTCTTTTCAGTGTAGRTGAGTGGTCCTGGCTGTTCCACCTAGTTTGGGGCATTTGGCTTTTAGCAAATTGAATTTTTCTTAAATCCTAAAGATGAAGCTTAATACCATTTGTAAGTGATAGACGAAGGGAAAGTGAAGGTCCTTTTGTGGGATGAGAAATGAGAAAGAAATGAGGTGCACATGCTGGAAAATAAACTCTAGAGTATGCAAAATAGGTTTGTTGCACTAACTAGGTACTACAGTACATCTGTAACTTGAGTCTGTCTTTAAATGGAGAACCAGAAGTAAGGTACAGTATCTTAGTAAGAGTAATCGTGAAAGCCCTAAAATTTCCACTTTTTAAAGCCTTCCCATCATCTTAGTGTCAGGGTTTACGGCTCGCGTATTTTTGCTTATTAGCTATGTCTTGCATGTATCATTTCAGAAATATTTGGGCGCAAGCTAGTTCCTGTCTCAGGTCAGCTTTAAACAAAAGGAAATGAGGCAGATACCTGGGATAGCAAAGTCCCACCTTGGAATCAGAGAGAGAGAACCAGACTGAAACTCTGCAGTCATCGGAGCAGTGGCCATGGCTGCATGCCCAGCCTTGTGGCACAGGGCAGCTCCCTGAGACGTGACCCTCCACTCGTAGCTCAGGGCAATGAGTCTGGGTGATCTTTCCTGTCCCTATAAACAGATGGTGCTGGGCTTATGCCAGGGCGTATGACTGGCCTCTACACCTGCCCTCACCACACTCCCTGTGGCTGTCTAGGGCTTGGGGGAGAAATTGTCTGCGTGCCAGGCATCTGTACAGGAGACACATAAAGCTAAGCTACTTTGCTGTACCACCACCCGAAGGGATCCGTATCAAGTTAGCCAATCTTGGCCAGCCCAAGGACAGGCTCTTGGCTCTGGTGAGAGCAGGAACAGAGCAGGTGCACTGTGGTTGCCTACTGCAGGGATTGGAGCACTCCCTCTCACAGAGCTGAGCCATGCAGAGAAGGTGATGTCTCAGAGGARTAGTCTGATCCCTCCAGACATCAGCATGTTTCTGGCCCAAAGGGGCAAAATCACTTTCCCCTCATCTTCAGGGAGACTTCATGTATCTCATTACCAATCAAGAAAGTATTAGAATTAAATCAGCTGTAAATTACATATATGCATATACATACATATATGTATATACATACACAGACATCCCCCTTTATCTGAGGGAAAGGAACTGTCAGTATCTTTTCTCCCACAGCTGCTACTGTGAAACATGGAGAGACCCTGTAATTTCTCTCACACTTCGATCCATGCAAAATGCAGTCTGCTCTGTTGCCCCTTCTGTGTTACTCTCCACTGCAGCCTTTTCACCATTGAGATCCTGCAGAATTGGGTACTCGTGCTTTATTGACTCTCTCCATCTTTTTTTTTTTTCTCAGGAAAGAAGAGCCCAGACCTTGGGGAATATGATCCCCTCACTCAGGCTGACAGTGATGAAAGTGAAGATGACCTTGTACTCAACATCCAGAAGAATGGGGGGGTCAAGAATGGGAAGAGCCCCCCCGAAGAGATACAGGACCCTGATTCTGATGTGGAGGTTGGGATGACAAAGCAGCACACGTCAGAGAGTGCGCCTGAGGGTTATCCTGCAGAGGCGGCTGGGAGTCTGGAGCAGAAGGCTGCTCCCTCCCTCATGCCCTACCTGCGCACTGCAATCTTTTTGCTCACTGTGGTGATCTCGATGATTCTTGTGTTGGTGTGCGCATTTCTAATTCCCTGTCCCCCTAGAGACTTGCATAACACCTGGAAGCGCAACCTAGGTCAGGGAACAGGTGAGAAAGCCCTAGGAACAGCATCTGGCATGGGGGAGGTGGCAGGTCCCAGGCTGGCTATCGGTGGGAGAGACCTATCTGGGAGAGTCGGGTCAGAGCACAGACCCTTCCTCACCACTACAGATGTTCTGAGATAATAGACAGGTGGCTGTGTCCTGCTCACTCTTGAAGCTGAGGCCTGTGACATCTGGCATCAGTAGATAATAGTGCCACAAAATTTCTACCAACATCAAAAATTATTTTGACTCTTCTTCCATCCTGCCTTTTTGTCTGGATGTTGTACTCTGTTCCAGATGGAGATGGCCCAGCCCACTTTAAAATACAGTGCCTCCCTTTCTACAGCCTGGACTTTACCAGTACCTCCATGCTGAAGTATGTGCTTGTGTTCGAGAGGAGAGGGATAGATGTCTTTGTGTCTTCTAACTAGCTTAACTAACCTTATTTCATTGTCTTTTTGTCCTGCTTGAATCCATAAATCAACATTTGAGATCTTTTGTTATCCTGTRTGTGCCAGGTAATATTTCTAAAGTATCTCCCATTCTGGCTTCTGCAATAAAGTAACATTGTTTTGTGAAATAATTTCTGCCAAATCTAGATATGTCTCTCCTTCCTTGCTTTCCACACCTGGCTTACAAACCTAAGCTTTTCATAAGATACATAGCTCCACATCACCTCAGAAATTGAAGTGGAAAACATAGATCTTTTTCTGTTAGYTTCTCCATTTTTCCTTTCTCTGACCCAGATGCTATATTTCTRTCTTCCCATGCAGTGAAAGATCTTACCATGGTGTGAGCTGCCTGCCCTTGGTGATTGCCTGGCTGACTTTCTGAGGCTTATCTATCCACAAGTCCCATCTCTGGGCCAGCCCTCCTCTCACAGTGTGAAAACTGAGCTGGGTGGTCTTTTTGACATGCAGTGACTCTCTGTCATTGTTGCAGGTGGTGTGTTATCCCCACTGGAACTGTGTGATGTAAATGGTGATGGGCTTCCTGACATCCTCATTGTCTTCACTGCCTTGAGGAATGCCAGTGTCATGGGTAAGCACTGCAGCTCCTTTGTGTTCCACTTCATGTGTTACTGTGGACCTTTGTATGTTTGTCTGACACACATGCAGAGTTCCTGCTGCTGCAAAACCACCACATTGCTCTTTTCAGAGATCCTTACAATTGCTGGTGTACTGTGCCTGTGGTTGATCATGCTTAGAATTAGAATTTTCATTGCAAGCCTGTGCTTTCATACTTTTCGGTCAGCATCATCTGTTTGCCTTTACCTCATCTTGGGGCAGCTCCATCTCTTTGTCCTGCATTTGTGCATACTTCCCTTTGATTTTAGATAGCTGTAGGTTAGTGTTGTAGGAAACACTCTCACTGCTGTCTTTTTCTCCAAGTCACTCCATATASTTTCCAGGTTCCCAATCATTGTTAATTCACAAATAATAGACTGATGATGGGGAGGCTACTGTGCCTAGMTGTTTTGCAGGTATTGCCTTGCTTCCTCCTCCTGGCTTCTTAGCTTTCTTTGTTAGCTCTCACACCCTTCAGGTAACATACAAGCAGCCTGCTGATACTGGCCACTGTTACACAAGGGCTGCCAAGTCCTGTGGCATTCTATAGCATTGGTCTGCTGAAGTCCTGGAGATTCCCAGCTGCCTGCTGTACTGCATGTGCCTATCATGTCATTTCCTGGTACTGGGTGAATCTGTTCAGTCTCAGAGACATATTCAGGGAGCAAGCATACATTGCACAGCCTGAAGAAAATTCATGGAGGCAAAATGCCTTGGCTCTTCAAAGAGGTAATTAAAATACTGTTAGAGGATAGGGAAAATGCCTTTCTCCATGCCCCAGAAAGACCCTGGCTATTTCACAGCAAATCCTATCAAAGGAAAACTATAAGCATAGAGAACACTAAGTTAAAAAATAAATGRGAGTGAGATACTGTTGACATAAAGGCTGTATTCAGTTCATGTAGGTTGTCCTTGCATTCTATTTTTTTTCACACRAAGAAGTCAGCACAACTGAGCACATTATCTCTGCCCAGCTGACCACATTTCTTGCTGAGCTCAGGTCCAACCTCCATGGTTGTCTGGACTGTTGATTTTCAGCCCAGCTTGTTTGGAGGTTGCTGCTAGGCTCTGCTGCAGAGAAACTCAGCCATGGGGTGRCATTTGACGTTTACTTTCAGGCAGTGTGGATTTGTCTGTCTTAAACCAYTCAGCTCCAGGAGTGGAGCTCCTTTGATCTCCAAGGACCAAAGGCAAYATGGTCATAGTAATCCCTCTGGTACCAAGGGACTACATTCTCTCTTTCCTGTCTCTTCCAGGTGTTTCTAGGCCCTCTGTAACTGTGGTGGCACTTTCTGGTATGAATGGCAGCACCTTGTGGTCCATCCAGCTTCCAGAAGAGACTCGGAGTGTGCAGTGCAGTGAGCTGTCACTGGGGGCAGCTGCAGGGCCTGTCTGTCTTGTTACAGGAATATCAAAATTCCTCAGCCTTCTCAGTGCCTCCACAGGTAAAGTCAACTGCCAGCATATTAGAAATATGCTACTGCTTTTTTTGTTTTCTTTAAAGGATAATAAGTGTGAATAATTTGGTTCTGGCACTTCACAGTGGCTATTACTTCATAACACAAAGGAAGGAGTCAAAACATTAATGAATTTCTAGTTACACAAGATAAGAGAATCTATAACATTTTGTCTCTGTGACAGCATGTTCATCCTACATCTCAGAATATTTCMAAGTGTTAATCTTACCCTGTAGCATCCCCATGTCACAAAGAATATGCTCTCAGCACTGAGGTGCTAGTACAGCTAAGGAGCTGCCTAACAGGACTGCAAAGCTGAACAGCATTCTTGGAGAAGTTATGTAAGGATGTACACGACAGCCAGAAAATCTTGCGGAGAAATTAAGCTCATAGTTGAATTGATTAGATGTGAATGAATATGACATTTTTAATCACTTGATCAGGTGCACCTTCATTTTCTGATTGCTGTTTGTTCTACCACGTTAATTCATTGGCAGAAATATTCATAGGTAGGTATATGGTTGTTTTTGGAATCAACCAAAAGGTACCTTGAAGGCGGGTAACTTTGCAGTGGAGGTGTGTGTTAATATTAGGTTTTAATGAACCAAGTTCATCCAAGGACAATAATTTCACCACAGTTGCTGACTCAGCAGCAAGAYATACTCTCCTATCTCCCCTGGCTGACAGGTGCTATCTGGCTTATCARCTGCAAAGCACCATCAGATCCCCTCCCTGCAAGGATTTCTACAGTCTGACTGTGGTGTCTCCACTCCACCCTCTATTCCATCCCCCTTAGTAGGTGCTGTGGTTGTAGRTTGTGGATGTGGGGAATCATCATGGAATAGGTTTTGGGCATGCCAACCACATTCCATCCAGGGAGCGGCAACTGTATTTTACCCTATAATTCCCTAGGTAAATAWAACTTTTCAGTTTCTTCTAATTTTATCCCCAGCCATCTTTCCACACCTTTCAAGTGCTTTTAGGGAACAGGTTACATGCACAGTGTTTGCATGGTCAGGACCATGAGCTATCTCCTTTACCTGCAGTAGTAGTGTTATTAATGTACAGGTTTGGCCCTTGGTTTACTTTGTCATACAGGGGCAAACCTCAGCCTACAGAGCAGCAGCAGCAGAAAAGTGTTTTTAAAGATTGAAAAAGCAGAAGTGTTGGTTAAGGAATGATGAAAAAAATAAAAGCATAAAATTTAATTGTTGCCCTTTTTTTGTATGTTTATTTGCAAGTTTGTAAATCTGGTTTTACTGAGTTTCCAGCTGGGTCCATGCTGGACTGCTGAACCATTTGACATCACGTCTGCTAACATGCTTTCACCCTGAGGTGGAGTGAGTATGTCATGCTGGAGTGGTAATTTGCTGCTGGGAATTTAACTGAGACACAGATTTGCACTTTGAATATCAGAACTKCCCATCTGTTCCCTTTCCTCGCATCTACCTAGGCTTTACTGCTGGCTGAGGCAGACAACTGCTGTCCTGCAGAGAATCACTCTCATTTAGGTTCTCCTTCCAAAAGTGAACCTTAAATATTCTCTGCTATTTCAGAAGTTTTTTTAGGGCTCGGGTCTTTTAGAGAGATGCTAAGAAGAAAGCAAGCAGGACTTGAGGCCTGACTCAAAGGCAGTCTGAAATGCTGGGAAAAGAATTTTGCTCCCCACTGCAGTATGTCTCAGTTTGTAGGTTTGTCTTTCCTCCTCACAGAGAATGGGAGAAATCATCTCTCTTGCTTTCTCTTCAAGAAGGTTTTGTGGAACTTTCTAATGATGCCCTCTCCCCAAGGTCTCTTTCATCCTGTTCTTCCCACAGGCAAGACCATCTGGACCCTGAACTCCATCCACCTTTCAAGCGGGATTCTGGCTGCACCGGCTGCAAGTCTTCCAGATGTAGATGGAGATGGAATTAGGGATATTGTTGTTCTGGCCCTCAAAGAAACACAGGTACAGCATATCCCTACTCAAGGTTTGAAAGGACCTTGACTGTCTGTGTAGAGGAAAAACAGGGAGCCTGATGTGAAAGGACTGTAAATAGAGCTACAAGAGCCCCTAATTTTCATTCCCTTGGATTTTGCTGAAAAGCACCCTTTTTCTTCCAATGGGTCAGAGCAGTGAGATCAAACAATAATGACGCTACCTGCATTGCTTGACAGCTGGGAATGAACAGAAGGGTCATTATTTGCACCTGACTGAGACTTGAGAATTATCTGTTTCTGTTCAGTGAATATGTAGTTTGAAGTTAGTGTTTAGTAGCAGCATAGGAATGGATCTCTGGAGAAAAGAGCATTTAGCTTATGCAAAAGAAAGAAATACTTGTGTGATTAATTCAGATGCAGATTTCCTTTATGCTCATCCCTCCCCACAATTTTGACATTGGTGTTGTTCAGGTTTTTGAAATCCCTTTCATATTGGATGCATTTGTGTCAAGAGTAAAACATGAATGTAAGATGCCCAGGAAGCCAGACTGAGCAAAGAGAAAGCAAACACTATCTAGACCTTGCTGAGGGGAAAAAGATCAATGGAGCTTCATGCTGTGGGGCTGGGAGAAGACTCTTGAGTGCAGAGGTGCATGAAAATACCGATAAAAATCTCTACCTCTCTCCTTGCAGCCTGATGTTTTTTTCATCTTGGTATCAGGAAAGACTGGAACTGCTTTGGGTGGGCCTGTGAAGTACAGCACCAATGGAGAAGGGAAAGTGATTGGCCCCCAAGTCCACATCACCGGCCGGGGAGCCATCTACATCCTRTTTGGTTTTGGTAAGATGCACCTTGCCTCTGCAGCACTTCACCTTACTGAGAAAATACTAGTTTTACCTACAATAGTCCAGAGGGGTCCCTGGGATATTTCTGCCATGCCCTGTGCTGTAAAATCTAGGAAGCAAAAGTATAAGTCTCATTGCCATGGTGTGGAAAAATACAGGACCACCAATACCTGCTAGCCTTGAATACCCAAAGGCATATCATGCCAGGGAGGTTCCAGCTCTGGGTATTTCATTGCCTTCTGCCACAACTGCAGTGGTCCCAGCCACTCTTGGTTATACTGTGTTATSTTTTGCAGTCAGCACTCTTCATCTTTACTCTTTCTGGCAGGTAATGTTCAAGCAGTTGCCCTGAGGGATATTTTTACCCAAGCCAGAAACCGGGACAACTTTCCTGCAATGCTGCAGCAGGAGGAGCCAGAATGGGAAAAGCGCAGATCTGTCAACCTGTCAGAGCTCATTGACATTTACAGGTAGAAGATGGATGTCTTGGTTTGAAAGACAGGTGCTTGCCAATGAAAGCAGGGACCCCCCTTGGAGTGGTGGATATGACCCCCCTTCCCTCCAAATTATTATAGCTTTGGAAAATCATGGGCTTTCAGGCAAGAATATGGGTRAAAGGGAATAACAGTTTTTACTAATATGTATAACAAGGTGAGACAAGTAACAACAACAATAGCAGCAACCAACCCAGCCACAAACCCAATGACAGCCTCACACAGAGATACACCCTCCCCTTTGGTGCAGTCACGGTCCTGTCCCAGTCGGCAGGGGCGCTGTTTGCTATTGGCTCCCGGCCGGGCAGGGCCGGTGCGATGATTCCCCGGCGGCTGCAGGGGGCGCTGTGGCGCGGGTCCCGGCTGGTTCAGATCTCCCACGTGGCCAATGGCGGACATGAACTGGCAGAGGTGGATGGAGAAAAGTTCCTGTGCAAACTCACAGTGGAAATGTCGATCTTGGTGCTCCTCTGGACAGCAAGAAACCCCAGAATGGCCGGATGAGCAAAGAGATGAGCAGAATCCCCTGGCTGCAGATTGGATGCAGCAGAACTCGATCACTGCAGCTGGAATCTCAGGGGTCCCCGGCAAGGCACATGGACAGAAGATCACAGTGCAGCAAACAGGAACCAACGAGCAGAGATGCTGGGCTCTGCAGAAAGCAGCAGGCGAGCTCTCCCCCGCAGGCAGCAGGTCCACTATCCTCCCCCTAGCTAAGCAGGGCAGGAAGTGAAGCTACCCCCCACCCCACACACACACACACACACACACACACACACACACACACACCCTCCCTGAGCCCAAAACTCCTGTGAGAACTTCCCTCTCTCCAAGGAGAGGAGAAAAAAAAATGCTAGGCAGGAGGAGTGCCCAGGGAGATTCTTTGGGTGGGGCTAGGTTCTTTTGTCTTCCCCATCACCCAGCGATCAAAAGGATGACCTGGCAATCAGTGTATCCCAGCARCAAAATGGGAAAGAAAAATTCACCAAGAAAGGAAACAAAAGGAGAAACCTTAACCCACAACAATGAACTTGCCATCTTTCTCCTTCTGGGGGAGGAAGGGAAGGGGAGGCACTTCTTAGTGCTCCTAGAGATGGCTGCTTCCACTTCAATATTGTCAATCTGTTCGTTGTCCAGTTGATAACTGGGGAATACTGTGGGGAACCCATCATTTCCTCCCTGTCCTGTGGTTATCCTAGCAAAAGTAGTGCAGAGTATGGTAAAAAGGAGTTCTTATCTTCTCCTGCTCCTCGTCCCTCTCTTCGGCCCCATATCCGTAGCTGAAGGGCAAAAAAAAAAGAGGTGTTCCCAGCTAATGGAGTCTCTTTGGGAAGCTCAGTCTGTGGGGGCCTGCATTTCTCAGCTCATTCTTCTTTACTGCCAAATCGTGTGGCCGGCCTCGATAGGAATAAAGTGAGGGAGCAAATGTGAACTTGCAAACTTCATGCTATTTATGGTAACTCACAATGTTCAGAAGACCCCACACTTGAATTTAGCTCACTTAACTGAGGAACCCCCATCACTGGGGAAAAGATGGACTTCTCTAAGTATAGTTCAAATCTTTGGTAGGAATTGCCATGCACCTCGTGCTGAGGATAGGCACCTAGTGCTCAGATGTGCAGATACAAGCCTTGATCTCCTCTCTCTTTTCCATTTGTCCCAGTGGGGGTGTTGACTTCCTGCAGACAATGAAGACACCTGACACAAACTGCAGCAACCTGCTCATCACAACCAAAGAGAGCTTGATCCTGCTGAGGGGACAGGACCTGGAGCCCCTCTGGACCCTGGAGCTGCACAATATCAGCAGGTTACTTACTGGGAACATTTTTCTGTCCTTTTTCTTCCTGTACCATTTCCCAGCTTTCAATTGTAAGCACATATATTTCTCAGAAAGCAATTGACAGTAATTCCCCAAGTCTGTAGGGAATCGAAGAACTGGAGGTGTGTGTTGTTGAGCCAAGTGAGGAGGGCAAGGGGGTCAAGGAACAGCAGACTGGAAGCTTGTGAGTAATCACAAATAAGGGGCTTGATTCAGGTATCCAACACTGAAGTCATGGGAATGATCTGGTGTTAGAATTCAGTGGGTTACTGATGTGTGATTCAGCTCCTCTGCTGTCCTGGGCTTCYCAGCTCAGTGGAGAGGATCAGTTACATTAGTGATGTTAAGAATTCAGCATTAGTGATGTTAAGAATTCAGAGAAGGTGTCTGAGTACGGCCCAGAGATCTTAAATGTTCTTTGAAAGCTGTAAATGAGCACTCTGACAGTCAGCACACCATCTATACTGAATGTAAACCTTAAAATAATACTGCTCATACTCTAATGGTACACATGGAAATGAAGTAATTTTCCAGATCTTGTGGGTTGGTAATAACCAACAATTTCAACTTGCTCACTATTAAATATTTGCAAAGGGCAGTTGGGCACAATTGAGGGAAACTACATGGGAAACAATTGCTTGTAGTATCTAGAATAAAGCAAGCAGCTCTCAGCTCAGTGCTACCCAACTCTCAAGAGCACAATTAGGAAGAAGGCACTCGAACTTCATTAAGGAAAAAAAATAATGGATGTTCACCTTCGGGTAATGTCCACATTCTTGAGGGCTGATGGGTAACATAAGCAGTGACTTTGGGAATGGGTTATGGCTAGTTGGTCATGCTGTGGGGAAAGGAAATGGATTAGAAGTGTTAGGGGCCYGGAATCTGCAGACTTCTGAATGTGTCTGGAGTGTAGTGTAAAGGGTGTCTACTGAATAAGCAAAAGCACTTCACAGKTGTGTAGAATCAGTTATACACAAGAAATTTTTTTAATGGATGCAGTAATAAATTGGAAAATACAAATCAAGAAGGGCTGAAAACTTCTTTACYAGTATGGTTAAAGTTGGAAGGCACCTCTGGAGGTTGTGCAGTCCCACCTACCTGCTCAAGCAGACTCAGCTATAGCAAGTAACTCAGGTCTGTGTGCTGTTAGGWTTTAAACTCCAAGAAGGGAGACTTCACCGTGTCTCTGGGCAGCTAGTATTCAAGGTTGTTGCTTTCTAGCCCTGTTTTTCCTGTTCCCTGGCCTCCCAAGGGGCTGAGTACAATACATGTAGAGGAGCTGCCAGATAATCATTGGAAAATAATGAAAGCAATTCCWCTTCGAGGTCACTGCACCAAAGTGCTGGACTGCCTGTTTTGTCAGAGTTAAGAAAGACAAAATTTGCTAGATTGAATGTATTGTGGGCAAGCATTTATTTAAGAGGTTTGTTTGGATTTTTTTAGAACTTAAGTTCCCCTTCAGCAACACAGACTGGGGGACAAATTCAGCTCAGGGATGTTTCCACCAAGTCAAACAGACTGAATTCCTTATTAGACAAAGCTTACAGTCAGCTGTGAGCACCCTTTTTCCTGGGTAAACCTGCCCCAAGCACACCCCTTCATCCAGGCAAAGTGAGTCCAGACCTGTGGGAATAATTTCTGAGAAAACCAACATGGCTGCTSTAGATGTGCTGCATTTCCACATATCTTTTGGCAAGATCCCTGGAAAACCATAAAGGAGAATCAGTAGTTATAAAACAAGGGCGAAGTTCAGAGACCATGAAATTGAGTAAGCAGTTGCAAATTGTGTTGTAAATGGATGTTTCAGATGAGAGAGGATTAATAGCAGGTTGCTGTGGGGATTACTGTTGGGCAGAATAATTACTAGCCTTCTGGTTCATTTGAGAAAGTGCCCAGGGGATTTTTCATTTGATTGGTAACATCCAATGTACTTACATCTGTCTGCATTCAGTTTGTGGGATCTGCCACTCACTGTAACCCACAAGGGACATGAGAAGAGGCAGCTTAGGAGATGTTTTGAGTTTGTGGTCATAGGGTAGAATTGCCTGCTACTTCCTTTTGCTACTGGAGAGCTTTCAGTCTATACGAGTGTCTCATAATACTGTGTTGAAAGCAACACCTGTTTGCCAAAGGTGTCTGTAAAGCAAATTATGTTGTTTGATGTCAGAAGTATAAACAGTCAAACCACTGCAGTACTGTGGCATTGCTGTTCAGGAACAATTCTGTCACGCACATTTTAAAGGGGAAGCCGSAAAAACAATTGAGAAAAGGTCTGGAAAAAATTGCTTTAGCATGGAAGATTTAAATTACTGAGTTTATTTGATCAAAGAGAAGCCTGAGAGGTGAGTTCATAAGCATGCGTACGAAATAGAAGCTAACAGGCATTTTAGTCTTGCTGTAGCAAGAACAAGTGCCTTGAAGCAAAACACATTCATGATCAAGAAAATGAAGATGCAGGAATGTTTCTTTGGGTGAAATTAATCATTAGAACTGGCTGTCATGAGAAGTGATGAATTTCATCAAAGATGAGGCTAAGTCAGCCTACTGATACTTGGTTAGTTGGGTGAAATACAGTTATCTGTCATAAATAAGAGGAGAGAGAATTTATCTCTGATGATCCTGCCTTGTCATAAAATCTCTGGTTCTGTGAATTTTGTGGACTCAAGTGTGGTTATTTAGAACCTTGCATCTAGCTGTGGTGAATTGAAGGAAGACAGAGGCAAGACTCAGAAAGCCAAAAGCAAGCAAGATRGTTTAAAACAGTTATAATGAGAGATATTAATGTGTTATGTCACCCAGAAATGAGAGGATGAGCAGGGATTTCATTTAACCTGCTTAAGGTCATAAAAAGGCTTGTAAACCTGCCAGCAGTAAGAATACAAGGAATCATGGGCTGACATTAATGGTGAGTRTATTAAGATCCATTTCACACAGCTAAGGCAGCCTGAGAAATCTGCTTTCAGCAGGAGGTCAGATGTGCCAATGCATTTTAGAAGGGCTGGGTAATTTTTTATAATTATAGCAACAATTGTGCAGGTTATCATGCAAGGGAAAGAGTGATAGAATCAAATACAGGGAGATAAACAGRTGTCTACACAGCCCATCAAGGGATSCTCCCCACAGAGACAATTCTGAAGAACAGCTGACAAGCACCATGAGCTGCTTTACCATTTTTCACTTTTCTGATCCACCAACAAATGATTCCTGACAGTCAGAATAGTTCTGAGTGGATGAAAGATCTTATTTAGCATGACAAGTCTTGCCATTTTAAGAGGCAGAGTGCAGGATGAAGGCAACTATTCTGCCTCCATCTGAATCGCTTTTTTTTCTACTGTGGGGCTGAGTGTTTCTTTTTCCAAATTTACAGCCAGCCTGTACCAGGTTACTTTGGTGCTGACCAAACTCTGGACTTCATGCTGCAAGCACAGACTGGAGATGGGAATAAAAAGGTAAAACAGGTGAAGGATGGGATGGCAATGGCCACGTAGGAATGGGGGAGGTTGGGTAGAAAGAGAAAACATTCTCTGGTCCTCTCTTTTCCCATTTCTTTGGCTGACACTCATTACTGTGTGGTCACAAGCATGAAAGGGAATAGCACAGGCCACGCCTCTGCAAGAGGACTCTGTATACCTATGCCTTGACACCCATTAAYGCTCAATCTCTTCCCTTCCCTTAGGTGGTGGTGATAGATGGCAAATCTGGCCTCCCTATTTGGAACCAGGAATTTCCATGGCTGAGGCAACAACTTGATGCACTCTCAGTCATGACTTTGGACAAGAAATCTGTTTTTCTCTTCTGGGCTGATGAAACACACCCTGTGTTTCGAAGTTTGGTGAGCAAGCATCCTTTCTTCACTTTGAGGTTTCTCTGTGAAGCRCATGCAGTCTTCTGTCTTTTRTTCCTGTTATCATTGAACTTGAAAYCTAACATATAAGAAGGCTGTCAGKGACATCTCTTACTTTGACATTCTGATTTCTCTAAACCTGAACACAGTTTTTGAGTGCAGATTCTTCACTGTAAAGCTTTGTTGACTAAAATTTTGCATTAACAAACCCAAAAATCTGTGAATTTCATTTTTTTCATGCATTTCTGAGGAGTTGTAACTGCAGATTTTTTCCCAGCCCTTAGTGCTGCTTCTGTGCATGCAGGGGCACAGTTTGGCATGGAGACTCAAACTTCTAGACTGTAGCTTTGCCCATAAGCTGGGTGTCATATCTAGCTAGATTTTAATCTTACCAAGCAGAAGTTGTGGATCAAATTCTGTTTCAGGGAAAAAAAAAAACCCTCAAGATTTACCCTCCCTAAAACCATAATTTTTCATTCTCTGGTCCATGTGAAAACAACTCAGTGTCAGAGAACTTTATTTCTTTGGCAAAGGTAGACTCCCCTTTGCTAGCCATTGTTGTTTTTGTCTCTTGCATTCCAACAGCAACTTGGTCCCAGACCTGAGCGCCCAGGGCTGCACCACCTTTATCTCCTCCATCCTGTTTTTCCCACAGTCCTTTTGGACCTCACCAATGCAACAGACAAAGTCATTGCTTCAGCAGGTGAGTACAAATGGAAAAAAAAAAAACCTACCCAGGCTAGAAATATGGAGAGAGAAGAAGTTATATGGGCTGTAGTTGTACCTGTAAAGGTAGCACCTGAGGGAGAAGTTGTGTTTCTTTCCATGGAGCTATTTATAATTTAATGCAGTGCATGAAAAATCACTATGAAACTTCTCTCTGTCACCTCAGATACACTTTGCTTTTGTTAGCCATCTCCTGCTCTTTGGGATAGCAGCTGTGCTGCTGCTTCTTTCTTTTTGTAAGGAGGAAACCAAAATATTTAAGCCTGTTTTCCAGGAAAAGTAGATCTGGATTTAACATCTATATGAGATTGTATGTCCAGTCCCTGTTGGATTTCCTTGCTCTTTCTAAAGCAGTTTGGCAAAGCCAGCCTCTTGGTGCATGGCAGTGGGGGATAAAAGATCAGTTCATCCAGAACTGAGAGAAGTAGGCCAGGAAGCATAGAAAAACTGCTGCATAGTAATAACATCTAATTGGACTTGTATCAAAAACACAGTTCAGTCAAGAACAAAGAAAATGCTATTTTTACAGGGTTTTTTTAGAAACTGGGATTTCTGAGGTCTGTACAGATCATTCTGCAGTGATTGGAGTCCCCTGACTTGCCAGTGCTTTACAAATTTCCCCTTTTATAGAGGTAAACAATAGCTACTAATAGGTGTGGGAAGGAAAGCTGAGAGTGAACTGTGGTCTTGAAATATGATATCCTTTGTCAAGCCCAGAAGTATAACCTGGAACCAAACCCTTCCGTTTCTGATCTGTATTTCAGTTTCTTTCTATGGAAAAATGTTATAATAATTTTCCCTTATTAAGTAAGGTACATGGAATTGTAGAGTAAATATACTTTCAGTCYGGTGGATATTTTCAGTGAGTAAGGGCTGTAAAATTTATTCTGGAAGAATTGTAATCATTTACTCCTCACCACTGTTTTCTTGCCCTTTTCTGATGGACCAGTTGGAATTAATGATCTCCAAAAGGATGCATTTCACATCACTGTGACAACAACCRCAACCTCTGAAAAACAGCCAGGGTTTCTCTCGGTCAGCAAGCTGGGCCTGAAGTGGGCCATGATGAGCCAAGGTCAAATGGTGTGGTTAAAGGACAGCACCACTCCAAAAATCAGCCGTGGAGAAGTGAGGCGATTTCTTGCCMGGATGAAATTTGCTGAATTTCCTCAGAAGGTGAGATTGTGCAGGAATCCCTGATGAGATCCAGGCCTTTGAAAACATCTGATCTCTTTCCTATAGACACAGTTAAGGTGCTGTTTGGGATGGAAAGAGACTGGTGGGATGCAAAGAGACTGTTTGCAAAATGACTGGCTGCCTCTTTGGGCATAAACTGGACAGACTGTGAGGCAAAGATGTACTTTGGCAGTTGAACACAGGTGCAGAATCTTAGAAAGAAACATGAATGGTGATCATAAGAGACTGAGACTTGCAGAGGGATTAGAGAGGCAGGACTGAGATCACTTGTTTTGACATGGGCAAACAAGGATCCTCCATATAATGGTGCCCAGGTTCTGTTTCTGACCTRTAAATTACTACTTTACCAGACTGGATGATAATAGATTTTGGTTTTAATGTTTGTTTGTCTTTCTTTCTTCAGCTCTAGGCTGGTGATTTCTTAGGTGTTGGTTGGACCTGTGGCCTGTATGGGAAATGCAGGAAGCTGCTCTGTGTATCTTCAGGAAAACCGCTACATAGAGGGAAGGGGGGCTAAAAGCACTTCTCCTTTCTTAAGCTAGCTGGGGAATGCTGCTGGAGACAGGTTTGTCCTAGGCAGACCTATTCTCTGCCAGAGAAATCTTGCTGAGCAACTCCCCCTCCATATGCCATTCTTGCATGCTTCCTTCCAGGTAACACAGAAATGTGAATTTAGAATTYATATACATATATATATAAAATCAGGCTTTATATATATATGCATTAATTTATACAATATATGTATATTTTTTGTATGTTTAATTTATTAATGAGATTTAGGACACATCTTTTTATGTCCAGTGTTCCCAAGCAGCATAACAAGCTCTGTGCCTAGAGAAGCCTCTGGCTCCTGCAGGGTTAGTCTTACCTATAACTTCTCCTGTGCTCTCAGCTCTCTTGTCCATGCTGTCACCAGAATCCCAAACAAATTAGTTCTCTTGCTGAATTACCCAATCTAGAGAAAAGTGGTCTCCACAGCWTTTGCCAGCACCTTGCACTTAATGTCTTTCTTTCCCAATTCCAAGTTCAGGACACCAAGTTCAGGCATATGTGGGTGATGTAGAAGTGAAAGGTTCACATCTTATTTATCTTATTTCTCCTCTCCTTAAGCTTTGTGTGAACCTAAATTATCACTGTAACATGTCACTGGAGTCTAATGGGCAGGATCCCCCTTTGCAAATGTATCACAGTTCTCTTGGGATAGAAGTCCAGCAGATCCTGATTGACATGGTAAAGGTCACTCAGTCTAGTCACAGAAAAGCTGATTCTTACATTGCTGCTTCAGGGTTTAGAGGCTCAGRCAGAGACAGAACTAGAAAACTTTTCTGTGCATTTTGACTCTGGGGCTCAATATTGCCCTTCTCTTGCCAGCCCAGCCCTGTGTGCAGCTCCAGGAGGARCAACCTATGCCTGGGATACATTTGCACACAGTGTGTCAGGTGTTTTGACACACGGTGTGTCAGGTGTTTTGAACTGTGCCCCAGAGTGTGTCATCATTCCWCTGTGTTGCATTTGAGGAGCATCTGTATGAATTTTCTTGTAATAGAAAAGACCGTATAAGAAGAAACCACTTTGGTGCCACAGCAGTTCCCCATAGTTCAGGGCAACAATATAGGAATTGCTTTCCTAGTATGCCATTCTAAGTCTGGCCTTTGGCRTTAAGCAGAGCCAGGCTGAGGTGAGGATTGCCAAGGACTCTTCTGTCTGGCATGTGCTCTTCCATCTTCTCCACATTTCCCCATGAGTGACAGCAGACTTTGACCCTCCTTCCAGATGGACACATTAGCCATGGGTTTGCTCTCTTGGGCCCTTGACACCTTCCTTTACTGTTATCACCCTCTCCATCATCCCACATTTCTATTTAAAGCTTCCAGGATAGCCCTTCAGGATTAGCTGCAAGCCCCAAGGCTGGTCCTTGGACCCTGATCTCCTAATGTCAGAGCCTGTGAACAGTTTGTATATGTCCAATGGTATTTTCGTGTAAATAGGTTTGTATATATTAGCACAACTGTAGCAATGGCTCTAGGCCTGGCATTTTCCTCCAGACAGGGTTTAGTGTTTTTAATATGTAGTCAGTTAATAGAGCTGCATAGTAAGACTGAAAGTGTGAGGATCAGTAACGTGTGAGGGATTAAACAGGAGTGTCTTTCCTACTGTCCAGCCACCGCCTTGCTGGGAAAGGTGAAGTGGCTGTTACCTAAGTARTTACTCTTCTGAGATTCTTCCTGAGAGAACTGATATTCAAGAGCAGTGATGTTAGCTCCTCCATAATGTGAATTCACCCTGCCACAGTCCCCACCACCCCGCTCCCACTGTGAATAAAGAGTCTGTCTGTATATTGTTGGGAAAATGTATTTGAACTGAGTGAARCAAAATAAATACTGTGTACAGCATCATGTGTCATGTGAACCAGTATTTCACCTTCGAGAGATTATAAGTTTGCTTGGGGTTTTGATTTGGGGGCTGTTTGCAATATTTTAACAATGGGCACGAAAGAACAGATGAAGAGAAATAAAGTAAAAAGCAAAAGTCCAGCTGAATTCTTAAAGGTTGTGAAGAAACAATAAAAAGAGGCAGACAGCAAAGTACCTCAGAATGGGAGATTTTTGGGCAAAAAGCAAGAAGGGAACATACAAGAGTCATTACAGATAGGAAAGAGGAGGAGAGAGATGTCYGAAAGCTATCCCCTATTCCTACTGYAGCAGGACKTTTAATCTGGGGGCAAGGAGAAGAGTTTGGGCCTGGAAATTAAGAATAGAGTGTTCAGAGAGGGTGACAGSTGATCAATATGAACACTGGCGCCCTTCACCATAGCACTGAACGGGAGGTGTTGATGGAAGGTCAATGTGACACTACCCAGCAGTGCAATTTGCCATCTGGGTGGTGCTGACTGTCTGTTCCCTAGTGCRATACTGGGATTAGGACATCTGCCTCAGCTCTGAAAGTGTTTGGAAACAGCTGGCACCAACATGTCCTTCCAGTTTCACCCTTGTTAGCTGAGGGCACCCATCACAACTATGCATGACCAGGGAGGACTCCCAACCTGCTACTGTAATTGCCCTGACCCGTGCCCACCTTCTCGCTCCCTGAACTCTAGAGAAAGGAGTGACTTCCCAAAACCTTCTGGCACCTGCCAGTGCTTGGTTCAGAGCTCTTGTGCCTCCCAAACCCCACTGCTCTGTCCCTRTACACTCATCCTTAACAGCGATCCTCCCCGATTGTCTGGCCCAARACTTCATCCAGCTCCAGCTCTGGTTCCCGCTGTAGTATTTTCCGCTGCAGATCAGTGTAGAAGTCGACTCCCTCAGAGACTGAATGGAAGACCTTGCCTTTGGGCTCGTAGTAGCTGCTTATTTGCTGTATGAAGCATTGGTGGTGCTGAGGCTGATCCTTTAGGCTCCCGTCGTATCCCTTGATGTGGTTCCTTTTGAACTCCAGTATTGTCTTGGTGTAGGTATTGAGAGTGGTGACAGCAGAGGCCATGCAGCAGGTAAAGGAGGCCCAGGCCATGCTACCAGAGACACACAGAAGAAGCACATGCTGTAAAAAGCCATGTGGGGTAAGGAATTGAACACYGTGACACACCCTGATTTGCCAGGCAGACCTGCTCGGTACAGACATGAACTAAAATGACTAAGGCTCATAGGATTATGGTTGTTAGGGGGTTTCCCACCACAAGATCCTTTTTAGATCAGTGGGATAAATATTGGTCATCCCCATCATAAGGAAGGGGGTGATAGAGGGAAGAGGAAAAGGGCAGCAGGAATGTCTGTAACAGGAGAGCACAGTTGTGCATTGCAGGGCTGCTCAGTGTCTTCCTGTGCATGAGGCTTTTCTACCTGAGTGTAGCCAAACTGCCATGCTGGCATTTGATGTCCAYGGGTGGCACCCAGCACTGGAGTGTTTAAGTCTTAAGAATCAATGTAGCATCATCAATACAGCATTGCCAATTGAACTTGCACTTTCCATGGGCACCTGCAAGGCTCATCCAAATGTTTTTCAAGTCAGGCATGTCATGTCAGCTGTGCTTTATCCTTTAGAGAAAGGCACACTGAGCCACTTGCTTTTCACAGCTCCTGTTCCTGGCTCACAAGTGACACTGTGGTCTATTGCCTGCTTCCACTCCTTCCTGCACATAGTGCCATCAMAGAGTGATCTTGGCCTCCAGTGCAGCTGCCATTATTTGGCTGGGCCAGCACTGGAGAGGAAGATGTGACTACTGTTTGAGGGCTGAGCTGTGCCCTCATCTTAAGGCACATGTCTAGGCTTGGTGTTGCAGGAATAGGCCCTTTGGCCTAATATTAGTGAAGGTGCCAAACCCACATGCAACTTATTAAAATTGCAGACAAACAAGGCTTTTTTGAGAGCATCATCACAYGTGTGACACAGGGAAGRGCTGAGGCCAAACAGGGCAAACCAGCAGACAGGCAAGCCTGATTAGTCAGCAGGACTGAGGGTAATTGTTTAGGTGTGACCCTATTGTTTTGCCAGTCCCTTTATAGCTACTCATTTAAGTAGCTCAGACACTATTTATTAAAGCAGGGTGAGGCAAAGAGAGGAGATTAGTAGTAGGAGAGCCATGGTACACCTGTCTTTGGAACACACAGAAAGTCAAGAAAGGAGGGGGAAGCAGGTGGTAGGGCTGAAGCTCAAAAGGCTGAGGAGGTGAAGATGGCTTCAGAGCTCACGTACTAGAATGCCCAGCCATAGTCCCATGTGTGTGGTCTCCAGTCCTCTGGTCCCAGATTAACCGTTGCCTGGAAGACTTGAGTGTACATCATGTGTGCCACCATCCCAAGGAGACCTGGACATTAAAGACAAGAAAGCAAAGCAATTAGAGCAGGAGTCAGAGCAGCATACTTCAGCCTTGAGTGAAAAAGCAGGCTCTCTCCTGCCTGCTAATCTCCAAGATTACAGTACTACACTTACCTGACAGCACTGAGGAGACAGCAGCAAAGGCATTGAGCTTCATCCCACAGACAGGATTGCCAGTATGCAGAATTTCCACCATCATCAGGATGAAGCTGATGAGCAGCAAGCTGATGTATACCATCTCTGACCCCAGCGACAGCCACAAAATTCCTGCCAGGAATACAGGATGAAACCATATCCAACCCAATCCTGAAAGTATGTCCTTTTGATAGAAGGGAACGAAGGAAAACAGCAAAAACCCAAAAGCAATCTCCCCAACCTGTGAGCAAAGGCTCCATGGGTGCTGTAGGAGGCAGAATGCCTGTCACAGAGTGCATGGSTCCTCTAGCATGGCAAAGCTGAGAGGAACTAAAATACCATCTGTAAACAAGCCAGCATTATTCACAAACAGTGAAGAGGAAAGCAAAGGGAAAAAGAGAGGGGAAGCTGTTGGCTATTAGCATAAAATCTAGTGGTCATGGACTGGCCACAAACACATTTGAGTTCTAATCACAACAATAAAAGCAAACAACTTTTAACCTGGGACACTAGTTAAGAACTATATGGTGCATCCATGACTGTCTGGGACGGCATCTGGAATTCAGGAAACCCCTTGCAAGCCTGTATTTCTCACTGATACCCCAATTAAAATGAAACTAYGTTCCTTGGGGTTGATACCCAGCTAGGGCAGTAATATGTGCCACTCACCCTGCCACTTGAACAGAGTGCAGGTACTTTCATGCTGGGATTGTGAGTGGGATTTAAGTGATACCAGAGTCCACAGCTGAACTCATTTCTACAGCTGTGCAGCAGGACTTGGAGGAGAATGAAGAAAGGCACTCTGTAATGTTGGGCTGTGGAAAAGCACAGGATTCACTGAAGAAGAAACATTAATCTGACAAATGAAGCAGCACTGTGAACACTACTGTTAGCAACTATTAATGGCTGTAGAGGAGAYGTTCATCTGGGGAAAAGGAGTGTGAAGAAAACCCTCATTAATGTGGCACTGACTTGAATACTCAACATCATTAGTGCCATAGAGTCACCTAGCTCTTTAGCAGAAATAGATGAGCTGCATTCCCTGTTTAAAGGAGCTGGCTTGCTGCTGCAGCACCATCAAGGAGAATATTTCATTAAAGGTCAGGCTGTCAAAAGTATTCTGGAGGTTGCAGGCACCACACATACACAGAGACCCCTGCATCATTTTCCTTGTGAGTCCAGGCTCCCCACTGCTGCTGCGTAGTTTGGTCTTATGATGTTGCGTGTGTATCGTGGAGCTGCTCTGTGCACCCCCAGCTCAGCCAGCCCATCCCACAATCTGCAGCCACCCCACCTTCTCCAGTGCTACCCCAACTGTACAGCGGCACCTGCACCATCATCTTCCCATGCTACTGTGTGCAGGAAGGGCACGTAGTAAAAAKGGCACTTGCAAATCCCCAGCATTTATTCCAGCCCTTGCTCTCGGGGTTTGAAGGCTGACACAAGCTCTGCACCCCAGGCCTTTCCCTTCACATGTGAATATCTTCTGAAATTACTTGCCTTCAGCCTCCATCTTCTTAGGGAATAGTTAGCAAGCCCACACCAATTGAAAAACCTTCATTAGGTGAAATCTCCATAGTGTACATRCACATACATCAAAGTACACTGAGRCTATCCACAGGGTGATTTGAAACATGTGACAATGACAGGAGGGATGATCTCTCCTACTCAAATGCAATTTTCTATTTGATGAGGCGGGGACTTCACCCTGAAAACATAGCTTTCAGATCTCCTATTCACTTGCAACAAAGTAAGAGGTGATTCAGCTTTCAGATGCATCATATTAGACCCCCAAAACTGAAGCACTGAATTAATATGTAGCCTCTGTGGGAGGGACTGCCCTCAGGTGTCATCCATCCTCCCCTGACTACAGCAAGGTGACAAGCCCAGACCAGACAACTTACTAGATGAGATAAATCCAGCTCCATATTGCAGGGGGTCTGAGGTCTCCAGCATTGACTTCACAAATGGTAGTGGTTTATGCAAACAGCTGGGAGGAAATCTTTGCTCTTTTAGCAATGAGACCAGGATGCAATGTCTCTTTGGGGACCCACCCTGCTGCCCCACACAGGCACAATATTGCAGGTCCCCTGTCCCAAGGAGGAGCACTGGGCAGGTACAGTGGGATACAGGGATTTGCTCTTACCTCTCTCGGCTGGTGGTGAAAGCTCAATAAAGCTGCGACATTTCTCTTCTGAAACACAAAACCAAAGCTTTTAGTTTACAAAACAATGCAGGGAACATAAGGGAAAAGAAAATCTCTTTATCTCACTCTCTTTTCAGTGCATACATCAAGCCATCCTTGAGGTCAGCCTCTGGTCTTTTTCTGACTATCTCTTCAGACCTTCACTGAGGCAAAGGAGGGGAAGCAACATTCTCCTGAAAACCTAGAAATGGCCATTTCAGAAAAAAAAGGTTCAGCAATTTGTAAATCTTATGAGCCTCTGCTGAATATAAAAATCTATTGCTACTCATTCACAACATTACTGATGATCAGGTCTGTTAAGGGTGTAGCTTGTAACAGACTGCAGATTCACCACTTCTGCTGAGGATGTGAATTCCCATACACCCTAATCCCAGAAGAGCAATTCTAGCACTGCTTCTCAAAGAAAAAAGCAAAAAAACTTCCCAAGTGAAATGCTTCRTGACAGAGATGCGAGTCCCCCTTCTGTGGCAGAGACTCATACAGAAGTATGGTCCTTGGTCCTCACATTTTAGACATGTTATTTCGACAAATTGTGTTTATATTTGCTTTGTTTTTTTGTGTCAGTCAGGTRCAAGCTACTGTCTCAGCTGAGGGTCCATCAGTATCATCTGTAAATCTCTGCATACTGCATCACTGCATTTGAGGGTCCTCTCCTTCACTTGGTACAGCATTTTCTCCCAGATATTTCCACTTCATGTAAGAATCTCATTTTCTTAATTTCTATCCCCAKTTCTAATCTTTCCAAATCTCCTGTGTTACTGCTGTCATCCACAGCTCTCAGGATGCTACCCAGTTTAGTGCCATCTGCAGTTCTCATTAACTTGCAATTTGCTACTTCACCTAGAACTTTAATGAGGATATTCAGTAATGGCTCATCTRATCTGATCCTGAGATTAGCCTGAATAATGAAATCCTTTCTCCTGTTCGACTCCAACTCCTTTTGCTCAGAGTCGTCCCTTTTTTGTTGTTGTTTTTATTGTCTATGCACTTGCTACAAAAATGCACAGTAGTGGGTGAGCTGTGCTTGATTTACAGGAAGCAGGGGACTGAGACTGACTGTGCTTCCAGCCTGTCCCATACTCTGCCGCGATCCAGATGTAACGTACTTTCTKTGTTCCTTCAATCACTGGGGTTATTCCAGGACTGCCCAGTGGCCAGRTAAGTCTTTTAGAGAAATCAGTCAAGGGATGTAGTTTTATTCCCACAAGCATCATGGAAACACAACCCAACCCAAACCAGTCCTATGTAAACACATCTCCTTCCACAGCCTGTCTGGAAATGCTCATAACAAAAAGCAGCCCACTTGTGAAGACATAAGAGTTTCAAGCACATTCCCTTCTGCTCCAACCCCTCCTTCTGTCTGCTTTTCTTCTCCAGTTATTTATTTTCAAACTTTGACAACAACAGAGATGACAAATACTATACTGTAACAGTGGCTTTGTTAAAGAAGGTGAGACATTTGTACTTGAGAAGAGCTTAAGGGAGGGTGGTGGGCTGAGGGGAGTGGGTCTGATGAAAGTGGCCTTCATCACTGCATCTTTAGATACAAATCTCTCTGTTGGTCMTCTTCTGGATTAGTTCTGATCACATCTGATGTGTGTGCCAGGCCATAAAGGGCACCTGAGCACTGCAGAGCCCCAACCAGTGCTGGTGGGACACAGGTTCCAGCAGAAGGATTTCAGCAGGTCTGGGCAGGACCTAGYCAAGGGTGAAGGGAAGCACCAAAGGGTTCTAGTACAGGTTGCATGACCAGTCCCTGGCACTCCAGGATTTACAGTACCAGTCCCACACGGTCAAAAATGACAAATGAAACCAGTCACAATATCATTGAAACTAAAAATTACAACACTGCAGCTCTAATCCTCAGGTCAATTTGCCTCTTAGCTTTAGCTTCTCTAGGTTCAGATCCTCCAAGTTTTCCTCTGTATCTGTAAGGTAGTAATTCTCTTTCTCTATTTTTTGTTGTTTTTATGAAAAGCCCAGTCTACTTAATAAGACAAAACCCCTCAGTTTGGTGGTTAAAGAACACCAACTATTGCAGTTCTCACAGGGATAGCTAAAAATTGACAACTTCATAAAAACATTGTACTTAAATTACTGAGAGGACATGCATGAATTTACCCTGAAGAGCATGAGGTAAGCTGTGTGTAGGAATGGAGATATGAGGAGAGGGAAAGGAGRCTCATGGAAGTTCCCATCAGGATGAACAGTGCCATCACAAAGTCATTGCAATCACCACTATCACTTGCACTTCACAGTCCCTATTCCAGACCAAAGAGCACACCAGAGACAACCACTGTCCATTTCCCTGCTCTGTGAATATTCTAGTGAAGGACAGAAATGTATTGACCACACCAGTGCACAGGGCTGATGCCATCTACAAACAGGAAGAAGACTTYTCTCCCAAGTGTCATCAGCCTCCCACTTTTCAATTTCAAACTTCTGTGGAGTAAATACAACGGAATAAGTCATGGCTGCCTGACCAACACACTACCTGGCCCTTCCATGCTCTCTTCACAGGAAAGCCACATCCCTGCATGGAAGTATCTGAAGGCAAACCGGTCATCTCCAGTCTCCCAGCTGTAGTGCACTACATCCTCAGATGAAGCATTGCTAACATCTGCATCAGATGGCATGGGGACACCGACGCACTGGGAGGCTTTGTTCTTCCCACACAGAGGCTTGGGTACTTTCTGGGTCCCGGTGCACCAGTAGCTGCCCAGMAGGGCAGTGGTGGAGAAAGTGAGAGCCAGCAGGTTCAGGATGACAGCCAGAAAAGTACGGCGCAACGGCAGTCCCTTCAGCAGCTCCATCTACAACACACAAATAGGAGGGACTGTCACACTGGCCACTTGTCCCACCTAGCCTTATGAATCCCRTCTTTTCCCAGTGTGAGTTTGTGGAGAGGGATTATGAGCACTCTGCCCTCCCCACAACATCTCAACAGCTCACCCAGCATGGAAGAACTGTTTCTTGAAAGTCAGGGTAGTGGCCAATAGGTCAGCTTCAGCCATTTCAAAGTATGCTGAATATCTGTCCTGGGGAGGCAAGGGTGACCCAGTAGACCCAGGAGAGGGTGACCCAGCAGGGCTGAGTGCATTGGGGTGTCTGAGCCCATGAGCAAAATGAAAGCAACATCACCTTCATCCATCTCAGAGATGATAGGGAAAAACTGTTAACCGAGTTCCCCAAATACCATGTGTTGCCTTTACATGAAACRCAATGAATGTTCTCTCCAGCTAATGAGAAATCTTGCTGCCAAGTGTCCCAAAATGCTTTTTTAAGCAGTTCATTACTGTAAGAAGGGAGGTARAGAGTATGATGATTTTACAGTAGGTGAAGGCAGGAAATGTTCCCATATCACTGAAGGTCACACATCAGAGCAGTGACCTSCTCAGAGAGGACACACAGCTATCCACACCTGGCAGCTTGAGTCTAAGCCCCAGAGCAGCACCTCCCACCTGAGCTCTCATCTGCACATCAGAAATTTGTAGGGTGGTGGGGTGACAGTGTCTTTGCTTTCACACAAAGTGTCAAAGGACCTTCTTCGTATAAGAGCAAACTTTGCCACAAATATTCTTAACAGTTCCATTTCTACATTATTAAAAGTAATTCAGAAAGCAGTTTGTGAACCAGGGTCCTGTGGACTTTGTCACTCAGAGGGAAGATTCAGACTTTAGGGTTCCTGCAGAACCCTGCACTGACTTCTGAGAACCCCAAAATATCACTCCATGGATTGATTAGATGTCAGCTACCCACACATCAACTCCCATGTAATCAACGCATGTCTCTTCCCACATGGCACTCCCTATRTTTGGCACAACTTCATCCAGATACACCCACCCTTTCCTATTTATGACTCTCAAAATCTATTTACCCMTGAATAGATTCAGTTTGTACAGATGTTGCCTGCTGCTGGTCCTCTTCCCTTAACTTCAGCTGACTCACCCAGCRCTGAATGTGTAAGAAAGACCCAGCATGCAGTGGACACCACTATGAATAAACAATACGAGATTGAGCTTGGCATTGTTTGTGACTGCACCACAGCTAAAAGTGGTGCAGTTAGAATAATTTTTTCTGMTAACCAGCAAGCTTGGAAACATGGTCAACAAAGATGGTACTGAAGCACCTCTTGAAAAGCAGGACCTTATTAGCATCTTATCACACTGAGAAAGCAGTGCCTGACCCAGAACACCCAGAAAGCAAGAAAATACTTAGCTCCTGAAATTCTCCTGTATTGTTTCATACTCTGACATTTTTTGTCTCTCCACCAGGACATTTCTTTCTGTACCCTGGAGAYGGTATCTTAGTGATGCCATAACTAATGACTTTCATGATTTAAAGGTATGTTGAATATCACCATTTTCGCAGAGTAGACACCTACTAGGAAGAGTTTCTGGCTAAGATCAGTGGCAAACTTCTCACTGGAAGTTTTTTCAGGGGAAGATTTGGCTTATGACTGAAAAGGAAATTATAGATGAAATTGCTCTCCTCAAAAACATAATTTTTCACCTGAAAATAGAAACTTTCAGCGCACAAAGTTTTCCAGTTTTTCATCAATGCTTGATTATAAGATTTTCTGTTGTCGGGTTTTGGGTTGCTAATGCGTTTATTTAACAAAAAAAAATTCCACTCACAATATTGACAAAAATCATCTTTCTAATTTAAATCYTCAATAGTGGGAAAAATATTCTCTCCAGTTGATTTATGACAGTAGTTGAAATGCTGTACAATTTCAGGAAGAGTGTTAAGGAAAAGACATAAAAAAKGCAAGAAACAAATGAGTCAGAAGGAAGTGGATCAAGGATGCAGAAGACATATGGAATGAGAAGAAAATCTGAACAACTTCCTGAGAACATTGTTACAAAATCTTCCCTCCACAAAAGCCAAGCACTCACTGACRAAAACTAGCCATAATATATCTAGATAGCCCCAAAAGGAAAGACAGTTGAATTTACCTTAGCAGCAAGTCTTTGAAGTCCTGTTAATTTGGATGAACAGCACAGAACTGGGACTTATACTTTGCCTGCTGTTTTGACCTTTACATCCTCCAAGAAACCCAATTGCTGCAAGCCCCTTCCTCCTTTGTCTGGTTCCCTCCTCCCTCTCCTCCCCAGCGATTATTAAATGCTATCCCTCTGACAAGCAGCTGTTTTGTGGAAAATGGTCATTTTGTAATCCACAATGCAATCACAGCACAGCTGTTCCAGGAGATTATATGGGAAGTGATTGGTGCTGCGGGCTGGGATTAAGTGCAGAAGAGTGACCTGTATTGACTGAGTAGAAAGTTTCTTTAAAACACACGAAGATTCCAGCCCTCCCCGTGTTGTCGCTGTTTGGGAGCTTGTAYGGAGCAAGCTGGCAGCTCTGACCAATGCTACAGGGGAGGAGTGACCTTACTCCTTAGCTTAGAAACTGCCAGCACTYTTGGCATCAGGTCACCCCTTGCCCTGTGCACTATCTCAGCAGAATGGCAAAGACCAAAATCATCCCAGCCCTRGGATATCCTCCTGGCCAGACCTGACACTTGCAGAAAGGGCATAATTAAAAAATGGGAAGAGGAAAGTTTATGGAACTGCATCTGCTCTGAGGACTGAGGATTTCAGTCCCTGAAGAGATACCAATACAGCTGCCCCCATGGGGATTAGAAATTGTGATACCCCTTAGCAGAAGAGCTGCTGAGTTGCAGACTGACATCATGKCATCACCACCATGAAGGAGGTATGTGAAACAGCAACGAGTCAAGCCCAATACCTGAASCATGGGAGAAAGAGATAGACTGTCAATGTCACTTTTAGTGGCAGCTTTTACCAAAACGTGAAGTTCACTGGGAATCCCAACTCCCAGGAGGTTCACATTGCATGAATTTGGGAGCCTAGTAAAAAGGGACAGAGAATCCCATTCATAYCAAGTCCCCTCTGAGCTCTTGTCCTGAAAGTTTAAAGGCTCTCACTATATCTGTGTGGTATCAAAACAGTGAAAAGTAAGAATGATATCATGTTCTCATGAGAATGTACTCGAGTCCATGGAGCAGAGCTGCACTGAGTCGAGCTGCAAGGGAGAGGAGCATCCCAAAAGCACACACCCTGTTTCCCCCACAAAGACTTCGCCCAGTGCCAAGCGAGTGAAGCTCGCACCACCACTGGCAGGGAACAAGGCAGATTCCCTGCATGCTGCTCTGCCAAGACAGGAAACCTGTGGTCCATCCATTCTGATCCCCCATGTCCAACACCTGAGCCCAGAGGATGGGGCAGGTGCAGGAACAGCTCTGGGTGACAGCACAGCCTGTGACAGCCCCACACAGCAGGGRCAGCAGACAGAGTGACAAGTTCACRGTTCAGTATGTTCAGTGTGTGCTGTCACAAGCTGCTGACCCTTCCTGCCCTGAGCAGAATGGGCAGTAGCTCCGTGGGTATTTTAATCCCAGTCACTGCATGAACTCCTCTAATATAGATAATCATTTCTAAGACGGACTAACTGAAAGCAATGCTAAATGTCTCTGTGCTCCASGGACTGCCTGCAGGTTTCTGATTAATAAAAAGGTTCTATTCGAAACAGATGCATTTAATTTACTGAAGTAGACACAACAACAGCTGATGCTGTTTAAAAGGAGAGTGATTGCTTTTTCTTTCTTTTTTCAGAAAAAATGTCCACATCCGGACACCTTAAATTTGACTTCTAAATGGTCAGTTAGAAAATACAGCCTGGTTTACAGTCTCAAGAGTAGATAAAGAACCATGTCTACCAACAATCCTTAACACCTTCCTAACGGTAAACTTGCTGAGAGTATCATTAAAACCCAAGATCCTCTGTCAGTTTCTAAAGCTGGGTTCACAGAATTTATAGTGATGAAAAGASACTGAATTAGTTTTATATGGATAAGAATTCAGGTTGGGAAATAAATTTATCAGAAATATGCTAGGGATTTATCAGAAATATTCAAAAGTATGCATATAGTAGATTTAGTATTCTGAATAATGGCAGATATTTATCCTTCCAGAAGATGGCAATCTTTCTCTAGTTTTCTTTTTGGGAGTCTGCTGCTCACATGCATGCTGGGGGAAGCAACACCCAAGTTTAGMCTTCTATTCCTTCTCTTGAAATTCCACCCTCCCCTCCCTTCTTTTTACATTTTCATGAACACAAACTCTTTACCTTGAGTCTGATATGGGGGATGGGTCCGTCTATTGGAGTTATCTGAGCCTGGGATCACTTGAATACACTGGGAATGAAAAACAAAAGAGGAATGATGCAGGAACATAGCTTTTTCTCACATTSTGCCCTGCATGAAACTATTCTTTCTAACACTTCCCAATATTTTGTCAAGTACCATATTAACTTTCCCCAGATTATTCCACACAACTCGTAGAATACCAACACCAGAGCATGTTTCATGATGTTCAATAAACTTCCCTTAGAAAAATTGTGGGGATTTTATCTAGTTTTGGTTTGGATTTTAGTTGTTCGTTCGTTTTTTAAAAAATCTCTATTTTAACCTCTCCTCCATCTGACCAATTATGGACAGKAAAATCAAGCTACATCTGTCTTTTCACCCTACTGTGCCTCCGGTTTTCTCCTCTTTGAATCTGATATTTCCCACCACAACTTGGCCTAGCTAGAGTTTTTGGATGTCTCTTTCTGTCTGAACTCAGCAGCAGCCAGTCCCTGGTGACTCGTTTAAAATTCACCCATTGAAGTGAATGCCCATAGCAGCTGATTTCTTGTGCAATCAGCCAAGCGCTTGACTTACAGAAACAAAACAAGGAAACAAAATGCATAAAACCCGAAAATCTCAGCACAGCAGCACTGTGGAGATTGCCAGCTCTAAAAAAGCCTGGGCGTTGACAAGCGATGCATTTTTATCCTGGTTCTCTCACCATCTACACCCCAGCTTGGGTGTATCCTGCCCCAAAGTGACACACTCCACTCCCAGGGATGCTGGTGGAAAAGAGGGTCAAGGAGACCTTGCCAGACAGGGCCCAAAGCTTGCAATATTTAACTGGTGGGTCTCAAGAGGCACACGACTCCTCACAGCCCCCCATGCARCAATCCTCCAGGGGTGTCAGGGATCATTTGCTGACGATCCCTGACACCAAGGTCCTGCCATTGACCCTTCAGCTGACCTGAAGGAGGAAGGGTGGCTATTTACACCCATGGAGTCACTCTGTGAAAACTGGACAAAGACGGGCTCATACTCACCCCTCATTCCACACATTCCTCGCACATGACACTTCCCACCGCTCCTGTTTTTGCAGTTTTTACATGAAGAACATTCAGAGCCGCAGTCCCCTCCCTTAGTGCAACACAGAAAGCAGGATGTCTCCCRAGTCACAGTGACATGGAGAGAGCCAGACTTCTCAAACCCAGTGACAGACTGCAAATGCCAGATTTCTCCCTGAGCTCTGAATAATTCCACTCAGATTGTAACCTTTATTTAGCTGTTTGCATGATGCATTAACTCTTGCTCTGAAAATGACCTCACCAAGCATATTTTTTCTAGTCTAAGCACATTTAAAGGTGAATTCCATTTTCAAAGATGAGCAGCTTACATTGCTAGACATTAAGACTGTGGTAAAACAGAAATAAAGATTGACTGGACTAAATAAATGCATCTTGAAGATGAACAAACAAGTCGGTCTGTTTAGACCTTACTACTTTTTATTTTCCTTTTACTTTTTCGGGGTTTTTTTTTTTTTTTTTCAAAACAAGCCTTAGTTGGCTGGATTTTTTTTTACTAATCTTTATGGTTATCAGTCACTCAAAAAACACACAGAAAGCAGACATAAAAAGAAAAAAAAATCAGATGCAGCAACAAAAACTTTGAAGACTCACTAGAGATTCTAGGTGCCTCAATTTCCAGATAGGAAATTTAAGGCCATATATTAGGTATAAGGCTAGGGGATTGCTTTTCACAGAGCACTTAAACACTGGCATMTCTAGGATGTGCTCACCTGAGTACACAGAAAAAAAAAAAAGTTATTTATGTAATTTAGCTAACCGTAAACTGTAAACAGACTAGAAAACCGCAAATTTTAACATAGATCTATAAGGATTTTAAAGAGGTGCCAGTCCATAGAAGGGTCCATACTCTATTCAAAGTAGATAAAGGCTTACCTTATCCACTGCTCACTATTCCCATCTGCTCTTCTGAGGCGTCCAGTGAAACACTACAAGGCGATCATGGACTCTCCCCTATGTCCTTCTATCTGAGTGAATATGTAGTAGCCAAGAAATTCCATGACATCTGACCAGAAGCTTTGAAATGTACCAAGTCTGTCATTTTATTTATGGTTTAATTCTTTCTGAGCTCACAAAATCATCACAGCACATTATATCAGCCACCAGATTGGCAGAGCATCCACTTCTGCAGAATGAATCTTTGTAATTTGGTAGYCCCCTCTGTGAAAATTGCTGCTACTTTTAAATCTACCACTTACAAGATCTCAGTCTGTTACTACACAGAATCCCAAACACCCAGACTCAATGACTACCACAGGCTCGTGGGGTTTTTATCATCAAGAGGAACCATTAGAAAAACCTGGTCTCATCTCAGATGCAACAGAACCCGAGGAACTTTGGATAATCATATCTAGYGATACACAGAACTCCTACTGGAGCTACAGCACATGTTTCATGCAACTAACTAGTATAGACTGTGCAGCAGAATATGATGGAAAACCCATCACATCCTTAGAAAAGTTATTCCAATGATTAATTAACCTCATCCTTAAAATTTTGCTCCTGGTCTGGAAGCAGTGTCTACTTTMGTTTTCCAGCCTCACCAGGTTGCTCCAACACACAAAAAAATACCCAGTGTAGTGATTTCCTAAAAGTGTTATTGTAAGAGTCACAAATCAGTGCATTTCATTAGAGGCACACAGTGTGATCTAACCAGCTGGCTGCTGGCCCAAATTCCTGGTTCTGTACTTGGCTCTGACACGTAATTTTCCCCTCCCATCGGCCAAGTCATTGGTGGTGCGTTTACACTGCAGTCAAAGCAGTGGCAATGATGGGGAATAAACATTCAGTGCTTGTTTTAATTGGGTGTTGCTAGGAATTTCACTCTAGCAATATGGAACACAATGCAGGGTACAAACCCAGAAATGAGTAAACTGTGCTAAACTYGGCATTGCCATGGCTGGACTGATAGTTCAAAAATAGTCCTTGTTTCCATACATTATAAAGCTGGGTCTCACGTGAAAATCCCACACGTGRAAATCACAGCACGGGGGATCCTTGTTGATACTGGAAACGGCACAAAGACAGCAGGAGACATTCTCTTTTGATAACCTGAGGATCCGAAATCAATCTGTGCGAAGAGTACATCACATATGCACGTCATACTGGAGTCATGTTTAATATGTTTTAAAGCAAAAAGAAAAATAAWTTGAAAAATACAACTAAACTACATTGCACTTTGGTTTCACACACGGAAATGAGAAAGCCAAAGCAATTGTTCTTTACTTCAATTTATCTTTTGCTCCATTTCACTAAGGTAAGTCAAAATAAGCAGAGATAGAGGAAGTCTCTAAAGATTATCTAATCAATCCATCTGCATCACTATGACCTTAGCAACCTGAAGAACTTCAAGCCTACTCTTAAAACTTTTTGCAAGGGACACACTACTCCATCCAGGAATAAAGTCCCTTGTAATATCTTTTCTTTTTTCAACCAAATCACAATATAAAACAATCTCTGCCAAATGCCACAGTGTCCATTCCACATCTGATTTATTTATTCACATGGATTGTCCTCTCAAGGCCATTGGAGCTACATGGTTTACTAAAGTTATGCTCACGTGCTTGTATGTGAAGAGCCAGTGCCTCAAAGGAAACATCTAAGCTAGCAGGAAAGGTTTGGAAATCTAAAAGAGTGAGTAAGACAGAGAGTTAGCTTTTTTGAGGCRAGGCGTGGGAGGTGTTTTCGTTCTTTAGCTATTAAAAACTCGTTGCTTTGACAAGAAAAAAAAAGGGGAAGAGAAAACTGGGAGGGGAAGGATTAATGAATAAAGACGCAGCATGGCAAGAGATGCGGCAAGCATGGTGGCCAGAAGGCACAGACGAGTTTCTCAGGATTCTCTGATGGAGCAGAGGTGGTAGCAGGTACTGATCAGAGGAGTCAAGGTCTAACAAGCTGTCTAAAGAGGATAATGACACCAGCTTTCCTTACAATGCCGAGCAGAGCGGTTTTGTTACAGTGCGTGCTTTGAAAACAGTTATACTAGATATTACAATTGAACCTTTTATCTTTCTGGGTGTCCTGGTAATTATCCAGGACTGARGGCATCTCCTTTTTCCTCCGGATTTGATGAGGATTTTGGATACCTTTCCATTCCTTTATGGMATTTTGGAGCTGTGGCTTCACAGACAATCCTGCTGTTGAGTCCAGTCTCCGTGGCTCATGCTTCCCATGGCCCTTCTGTGGTGTGCAGCAGGCTGAAGCTGCCTGTGGGCCAGGGAGGAGATGGGTCAGGACAGGGCTGTGCTGACACCGATTTGGGGCCCTGGCCCCGTGCCTTGGTGCCCAGTGRGAGCAGGCAATGCTGGGAGCGGATGGTGTCACTGCCATGGACACGGGGTGGGTGCAGCATGTGTATGCCGTGCCAGGGGAGTTTCGGGGCACCCAGGCTTCCCTACAAATCCTGAGGGAAGGGAGTGCCCCAATTGTTACAAAGACAAACACAAAATATTTTGAAGACAGCCAGCAGAGAAATTGGGCGTCTGCCTCTCTTCTTCTGCATTTTTTTTTGGTTGGCTTTCTTTTGGTT